TATACATACAAACTGGTATTTTCAAATGCTCTTATTTGCATCCGCGATCCATAATCAGTACATTAATTTAGTTGTTTCTAAATGATGTTTACAAACTTTACTGATATTTAACATTTTCATAAATAAGTTGTTGGACCAGCCATTTGTTCTCACATTTTTGTAAGACTTTCTTTAGCTATATAGCATGCAGAACTATCTACTGCTAAATATTTTTTGTGTGTTTTTAGACATACCTTGTTTGAATGATGACTGTGCTTGTTTCAGGGACTGTGGCACTAAAATCCCAAACCACTTTAGTGGATCCTGGTGAGGATTATGGCCTCCTTTTCTAACTGGGTTTACCTCAGGATCCATCTCACTGCCGGTACCCCTACTTTCTCTTTTTTCTGTGCCGTCGCTTTTGGTCTTTTTTCGTCGCCTGATACCTATGCAAGTAAATAAAACAGAGAGAGGATTTAAAAAAAAGACAGTTTACAGCTGATGTTTCCAGAAGACATTTTTTCATTGAAGCATCACCTTCTTCTTGAGGTCCAATATCCTCTATTAATATTGGTTCTTTAACAGATCCATTACTGAATTCTGGTGGAGACTTCTCAGTGCTAAATTCCACATCATCGTTGTCCAAGGTTCTATAACACAGAAATACACATAGAATGTTAGCAGAAGCTAAAATGCATAAAACTGGTCTTGGAAGGATATATTCTTATCTTTCCACACCTAACATGTACAGAAACCAGTGGCTCCATCGTGTTTGCAAATTGAAGAGCAGAAACCTGTTTGTTTCCCATGGAATATCGTGCCTTGCTTATGGAAAACCAGCCCTAAAAAGAAGAAGAAAAACTATAAAACAGACTAAAGCAGAAAAGTGATCAACAGATGGTCAGAAAATATTTGTAATTGAATGAGGTATCTGATGTCTCTTTCAGATTCATAACATTTTCCTTATAGATCCAAACCAAACGTTACAGCGGTTAGAAATATACCTAACTGGCTGGATGTAAAAGAAACAAATGTGCATATAAGAACACATCCCCCAGTTTTAAGCTTAAGATCATCTACTGCTCTAACAATTGTGTAATAAAACATGTTGCTATCAGAAGGTTTATGACTACTGTCTCTGCTCCAATCCACAGACATCAGCTAACATGAATGGCTTTGGCATCCCCTTCAAAATCTTTTATTTTTGTGGCTATTTTAAAGTTTCTGTCCAACTTTTATATTCCTAATATTAATATAACCAGAGCATATTGCTTACATTTTGATATATCCAAACCACTTTAGAAAATCACCTCTGTTTTTTATTTATTTTTTTGTTGTTGTCAAGTATCAGTATTGCCAATTAAGAAACTATTTTAGTATGAGGGGACAAGCTTAACTAGCCCACACTGGGTTTCAACATATATATTTTTAATTCTATTATGTTGTATTTTGAAAAATACCAAGTAACACAGAATAGATGATTTCTAATGTAGAACATTCTCAATTATTACTGTTTCTGTATCATAATATCATATAAGATGCTGAATGTTTCCTGGAAAAGAAATTGGATACATTTTTTTATAATAATAATAACTGAACTTTATTGATCTTATATTGGAGAAATTTACCTCTGCATTTAACCCATCCCCTTCGCAGGCACAGAGCTAGATGGGCAGGCCAGGGGTGGCCATGGCCACCCTTAGCTAATCATTGGCCACCCCTCCCATTTTTTCCCTCTCTAATACAGATGGTGGAAGCAGTAATACTCTCAAGTGGAATATTCAAAACATTAAAATTTTTCATATATTAACCATTACTTGACAACAAAAACAATGTGGTTATTTATGCACATCTATATACTAACATTAAATATGATAATTTATGCTCTTTTCAGAACTAGATTTTGTATTATAAAGGGTAAAGAGAAAATTATGTGTCTCTAAAAGTCATCTAGGAGTCTTCAGTGCAATCATAGATAAATAACTATTTTAATAAAAAGTTAAAAATCAATTTATGTATATATTAGCACTTGTAAATATAAATTTTATGCAGAATAATTGTTGATAAAAGAAGGTAAGTAATGACAAAGGAAGAGATGTTTGCCCCAAAACTCAAACCTGAAAGAATTTTATCCACTAAACCTTTTATCTAGGAAGCACAGATGTTTAAAAATATAGGCGTCTATTTGTTAGCAAAAGCTGTTGGAAAGTATAGTTTGTGTTTATTTAGAAAATATGAATATTTTGCTCATTACTTTTCCTGTTCCAATAGTGTAGATTGACCTAGAGGTTCTTGCGCCTATCTACCTTCGGCCCCCCCTCAGTGTACATTGGTTATTGCCTGAACAAATCTCTGGCTACGCTTCTGCCCCTTCGGGAACAGTGCGTGTACGTAAACGTACATATGTAGCAACGGTTTGAGTTGTATTTTTTCACGCAGATTAATTACTTGACATACAATAACTGCTTTCCTCCACTTCTGTTTATCGAAAGCTAAAATATTTCTGTATTTTCTCTACCTGCTCGATGAGAGAGTTCAAGGTGTTTCGTTTCTCCTGCAGTAACTCCAGTTGGTCCATAAAACGAAGCAGCTTTTCATCCAGTAATAGACAGGACTCTTCTCCTTCTGATAAACCCATGTTGTCTGGTTAGAAATAAATGCGTAAAAGGGTTTTATTTACGATCAACACCACACAAATATAAGATGAAGCGTACAGCTTCCGTATAGCGTCAAATGACGTTGCTGGTCACATGACCCAGTATTTCTTCTTCTTCTTCTTCTTCTTGTTCTTCTTCGTCTTTTTTTCCTCCGCTTTTTCCGACTTGAAGAATTTGCACCACCAACTGATAGAACACGTACTGGAGCGACGGTGAAGTAAAAAACAAAGACATATAAATTAAATTATTTAAAATAAAAATCAAGTTACATTCAGTCCCTCAAACTATCGAGTCTCTTTTTAGTAAATGTGTCGAAGCTTAAAAATAGAATAAAAAAAAAAGCTTGAATGCCAAATTTTACTTTACAGATAGGAGGAATTTGCTTTTGTCAAACATACATTTGGCATAAATCTTAATAAATTATTTCATGACTGCATTTCTTGGATAATTAAAATATGTTCTACAGTTTCATATTTTCAATATAAGTCATATTTATACGTATTGTGTTTTTCCTATTTATGAATAGTGTCCTGTTTATTCTATGCGTCCAAATTTCAGCATTGCTTGTTCTTCTCCTCCTCATTAGATTTTTGGGCATTGGCAAAACGTGTATGTTGTGCATTTCTGTTAGTGTGGAATAATGTATATCAACATTGTTATTGTAATTTTATTTCTTATTTCTATTTCTATTCAACTTTTTTTTCTTGTTCGCCTTTTTTAACTTCTTATGCCTTATTAATTTTAGTATTAATTTATTATGACCAAAAAAAAAAAAAAATGATGTTCCCATACCGGGAGTCGAACCCGGGCCGCCTGGGTGAAAACCAGGAATCCTAACCGCTAGACCATATGGGACTATAGAAATTCGGTCGCAGAACATGTGATTTATTCCTACAAAGAGATTTAGTTGCAGAACATGTCATTTATTCCTACAAGACGTCTTATCTGATTTCTTCTGCCATTATGTGGGACATTTGGGGAATACATAAACAGTTTTAGCAATGTCTTCAAAACAAATGTAGATAAACTGCTCACTGCTCATGTTGTTATATCAATGTGATTGGCCAATGAATGCCACCGAGCTAAGAATTTTGGTTTTGTTGCCGTTTGCAAGTCTTTTTATCTTTTTATCTTTTTATCACAGATGATTAAATAAAAACATGTACATTATTGGGGAGCTTGCTAGATTTTCTGGGAACTGTTTAGTAACAGATTTATACATCCCGTATGTAAAAAGGAGCGCTACCGCAGGTCAGTCATCCCTGGTGACTGCACTGTAACCTGGTGTAATAACACTGCAATAACTTATACTATTTATCTATTTAACAAACCAGAAACCGCACTTTATCTGCCACCACTTTACTGAACATGAGATACTGTATATAGAAGTCACCTTAAATCTCTCCTTTATCTTTTTTTTTGGATGCACTGTATATATGTGGATGCGCTGTATATAGCTACGTAATGCACCTTTTCCTCCCTTGTGCACCTTCTGGTGTCTATAAAAGCCGATGCCGAGTGAATTTCTCCATTGTGAGATCAATACAAGTCTGTCCTAAACTACTTCAAGCAGACATACGTTCACGACCCCTGTATCGTTGTAGGTGAGATACGCATTTTTTCCATGTCGGCGCAGGTCTCTCAGTAGCGTGCCGTGATCGTATAGTGGTTAGTACTCTGCGTTGTGGCCGCAGCAACCCCGGTTCGAATCCGGGTCACGGCAGGGATAAATCCCTGACACGGCTTGAGAGATATCTTTTTAAAAAACAAAAACGAATTTCTCGTGTTTAATAATTAAAAGGCAGATATCGTGTAACAATAGTATTTTCGTAAATGTATATTCGTTCATTTGTTTGCGTGACAGTGTATGACAATAAAGTAGAAGTCTATTCTATTTTACTTTTTTGTAAGATTCAAAACTGCATTTATGATCACTAGTCCCTTTCTGACTTCTTTAATATCAAATATGTTAATCATCTCTGTAACTGCATAAATAAAAAATCATATATATATTTTACATGTAGCTGATTAAATTAAGTGGACGTGTAAAAATACTTTAACTTACTTGTACTTACATGTACAAAATTCAATATTTTAGTCTTGCACTCTACGAAATAAGAATCTGAAATACCTTTTAAACAATTCTACGATTTACAAAAGTTCGCCTCGGGTCTGCGTTTACCTCCTTCAAAAACAGTAGCGTATGTGGTGAAAATTACTCTCTGCTCATTGGCTGTTTGATTGGAACGAAGTCTATGTTCCGAGACGAGGAGCCAATCACGTGAGCCGTCAGATCGAATGTAGCGTTTTTGTGCAATAATGCTCATTGGCCATTGGTGTATGTAATTATAAGTCACCACCCCCTCAATAAAAACACTTCCGTTTTTGAGTTGGAGGAGCACACTTGCATGTGAAGAAGTCAGTTGCCTGTAACTTTGCTGAATATACATTTTAAATTAGTTCAGTCTTCAGAATTTATTTCAAAAGCAGAGTCCCTGATTCCAACATAGATATACTCCCTGGTGAGTTCTTTTCTTTTGGTTTGCTGTCTTGAACTCTGATTTTTAAAAATGCAATTTGTACATTCAATTTCTATCACTACTAAAGTTAGTAATATCACATCTGTTTAAATGAAGCTGACAAAGATCCTCTCTTCAAACAGATAATGGATGCTTCTGCAGGAAACAATCCTCCTCATCCATTCTGGCCCCAGGACCTTGTGATTCCCAACTATGTGGCCAATGATCGGTCCATGACAGAGATTCTGGTGTTCCTCTTCTCTGTTTCTGGGGTGTTTCTGCTTGTCACCTGGCTGATCAGTGGGATCAACCACTCCCTGGGAACATGGAGGCGCCTGGCCATCTGTTGGTTTGCAGTTTGTGGATTTATCCATAGCATTATTGAGGGCTGGTTTACTCTTTATTACAACATTATACCAGGGGACCAAAGCTTTCTTTCACAACTGTGTAAGTACAAGAAGGGAAAAACATATATAACATGGCTCTGATTGTGTGCATATTATGTATTGTGCTTCCCTCTCCCAGGGAAAGAGTACTCCAAAGGGGACAGTAGATATGTTATGTAAGTTACAGTCATATAAAAAGAAAAAAAAATAAGAGATCTGATATGGTAGGCTATCACTGTTTTTTTTCTCTCTCTAGAGCTGATAACTTTACTGTCTGTATGGAGACCGTGACTGCTGTCCTATGGGGTCCATTCAGTTTTTGGGCTGTTTATTCCTTTATAACTGCAAAGTCCTACAGATTTGTTCTGCAGCTCATCATTTCACTTGGTAAAGAGTCAATAAAACCATCTAAAACACAAAATATATTTTTTTTTACATGTTCATATGTTGTTTCTAAATATATCTACTTTCTCTCCTTAGGTCAGCTTTATGGAGCAGTGTTGTACTTCTTCACAGAGCACAGGGATGGCTATGCCCACAGCGAGTACGGACATCCTATCTACTTTTGGTTCTACTTTGTCTTCATGAATTTCCTTTGGATCATTATTCCATTGATACTCATTTTGGATGCGTGGAGACAGTTATCTGCAGCCCAGACATATGTGGACACCTCTAGGACACAGAAGACTAAAAGAAAGTAATCTATATTAATCACAACAATGTGGGACATTGGGGGAATTAAATCAAAATGTCTTCAAGACAAATGAAAATGAACTGTAGTCCTTTGCTTATGTTGTATTATTAAGGTGATTGTCCAATGAATGCCAGCAAGCTCAGAGTTTTGGTTTTGTTGCCGTTTGCAAGTTTGTTTTTATTACAGATTAAATAAAATGATTAAATAAAAAAATTGCTTTTATACTGTTGTTTGTTAATAAACTTTAGTTTGTGATTAGCCTGAATACTATCTTAATATCTACACAGTTAAGCGCATAGGTGATTAACATTCAATCTTGTGATAAGTACATGAAAGCATTGGTGGGATAACAAACAGATGCAGTGGTGGCTTTTTAAAAACTTGTTATATGGAGAATTAGGTCTTCTGTGTTGGAAGTTTATATTCTTGATATTCTGTAAAACAGGGCAAAATCCTAACTGATAATCAACCCATTCGTGCCTGTCTCTTGGAATCTGCATGTTAATATTTTAATCTGAAATATTGTCAGAATGACACTGGTGTTTTTTGTTGACTGGACACAAATTAAAATTATAAAGAAAATGGCAAAGAAGAGTAAACAGGATTTATTTTGCTCAAACCTTGTGTCTGTTAATAAACTCTGAGTAGATCCACTCAGAGTTACGCATGTGAGTAAAAATTAGGCCTGAGCAATTAACAGTGGAGCACCTATTGGATGAGTCACAATGACAACAGGCAACAGCAAGTGTCTGTTTCACACCACTGGAACTAGAGATTTTAATTCAGAAAGGGAAAAAATGGGCTCTGCATTTTATGAATGGATTCATAAAATGCAGAGCCACAGCTGCAAAAGAGAGGGAGATGGAGTTCAAAAAGATTGCTGCTCGACTTTATTTATATGTTCTGTTATGACATGTCTTTTAACATTTAAAAGCACGCTCATCTCTGTTGTTACATTGTAGATCACTGAACTAGAACTCTTCCTAGTAAAAATCACATTCCTAGTTGGAATTATAGTTATATTTTTGCCAGCAAAAAACTGAATTTTAGAAAGTATAAAACAAAATTGTACTAGTAAGAATTAAGTTTTATATACCTAGAAATATTTACACATTTTAAGTGAATGTTTTGACATTTATCAGTTAACTGAATATGTAATTTATACAAAATTTATACTAAGGATAATGGAGATTGGAAATTTATTTCTAGACATCCAGAATGTTTATTGTAGATGTGAAGAATGTCACCAGGAAAAATGTATTTAAGTTATCAAAAATAAATAATCAGACACACTATTAAATATCTATGGATGGCTATAGCCTGTTGTAATCATGATAACATCACAGGGGAAACCTAGTTTACTGGTTGAATGGTAGCAAATCAATGTATGATATTTCAGTTCAATCTCACAAGAAGAGGTGAAAATGGAGTATAAAAACATTCAACAGGTAGGACCTGTGCATCGTGTC